TTATTTATTTATTTGTCAGAGAGCACATGCACAAGCAGGCAGAGGGAGAAGAAGGCTCCTCTCTTCTGATGTGGGACTCCATCCCAGAACCCCGGGATCATAACCTGAGCCAAAGGCAGAGGCTTAACTAACTAAGCCACCCAACTGTCCCAATAAATACATCTTTAAAACAAAAAACACTGACATCCTTTTTTGACCATAGGGCCTGGTCATGAAGTACCACAGAATGTGGCTAAGGACATGCACATCAGAGTTGAACCCTGGTTTCAAACTTACTACTTAATGTGCCCTGCCTGAGCCTCAGTTTCCCATATCTGTAACAGCTACAATACCTGCTTCATACAGTTGCTGGAGGGATAAAAGGTAAAAATGTAGTTATACATCCTCAGCACGGGGACTGACAGACCTTAAGTGATCAGTAATTACAATTTATTCAATCAGGGGATCTGTTCACATGTCCACAGCACACACAACTGTCCTTACCACCTGACCTCAACACCACAAACCTTAGAGCCCGTCGCTTGTAACTGAGTGTGTTTCCACAGATGCACAGATTCTGGAGAGGCGGGAGGTAATGAAAGGCATTTGTGTTCATTTATAATATAATTATTATTAGAAGCAGAGGTACCAGGGCACTTGGGTGGCTCAATGGGTTAAGCCTCTGCCTTTGGCTCAGGTCAAGATCTCAGGGTCCTGGGATCGAGCCCCCGCATCGGGCTCTCTGCTCAGCAGGGAGCCTGCTTCCCCCTCAGTCTCTGCCTGCCTCTCTGCCTCCTAGTGATCTCTCTCTGTGTCAGATAAATAAATAAAATCTTTAAATTAAAAAAAAAAAAAAAAGGAAGAAGAAGCAGAGGTACCAAGGAAGGCCTGGTGAACTCCTCTGATTTTCCGGGTTACCTGAATCTATTATTTCACAAGCCATAAAACCAGTATGGTCAGTGTGGAGGGAGATATTTCACTTGACTCATTCAAGCCAGACACTTCAAACCACTGCTTAACCCAACATAAGTTGTGGCTCATTATGTAAGAATCTCCCAAGGAAAGCGAGGAAAATAAAATTTCTCTTCTGTATATACTAACAGCAGTGATTATCTGCAGGTGTGGGATATCAGAGGCCTGTCACTTTCTTTTTTCTTTTTATATCTGCTTACAGGTTACTTACCTTTAATGAGGTAAAACATTTTAACTAAAACCAAAGTTCCCTTTAACCACTACCTACAGATTCTCCATGTAGCACCCTTCCCTCAACCCTCACACCAATGTGCATATCCCTTACAAGTCTGTAAAAGTGTAAAAGTCTGTTTGGGTAGTTCAGTAAGTTTTATAATCTGCAGAATCCCAGACCCTTTCCTGCCTTGACACATTGTTTTTTGAGACCCACGACTCATACAGCTCCAGCGAATTCCTATAACCACTGCTCGAACTGAATTATTCCTTCCTATAACCACAGCACCCGTTCTTCCCTGTGGACGGCAAGCTGGCTTCCTGAGTCTTTGCTAATGTAAACTACTCGGCAATGAACATCTGTGCATGCCTACATATATTTCCAGTGAGTTTCCACCTCACAGACTTCCATAATACTTATCTTTTCATACTGAGGACGTATTAATATTGTAACCACAAAATTCTATACAGGGAGATCCTTTCCTAATTTCCTTTTTGTCAGTTCTCTCTTTCGTTCCTGAGTGCTGTGGTCAAAAAACTAAGAACAGAGACACAAATTTAACTCACCCCAAATTCAAGTTTACCAGGACCTAGCTCACCCCCTTCAGGAAACAGATTACAACTATAATATCTGTGGAATGAATGAACCTGCCAAGTCAACTCCAATGAGTGGCAGGCGGTCTGAGTCCAGAGGGCAACATGGTATCTAATAATATTCCGGTCTTCATAATTATTATCAACCAACATGGGGAGTCTGGAAGATGGCAGAGTGGGAGGATCCTGAGCTCACCCTGTCCTGCAGACATTCCAAGATAACAGCTACATCTATGCAACTGCCTCTATGCAACTGCATCTATGCAAACACCTGAGGACTGGTAGAACAGACCTTCCATAGTTCATCTTAGACAGGAGGCCATACTGGAAGGGTAGGAGGATAGAGACAGAGTTGGAAACCAAACCTCTGGCAAGACAAAGGGAATGGACACCACAAACACGGAGAAGCAAATACAAGAGATCAGACCCTACACTAGGCAAACCAGGCACTGGCAATCACATCGGGAAGACAGTCCCCATAATACCTGGCTTTGAAAAACCAGTGGGGCTTAACTTCAGGAGCTTCTAAAATCAGCAGGGCTTAACTTGGGGTACTTATTATCAACCAACATGAATTGGTGATGTCAAAGATGAAAGTAACTGTCACACTCCAGCCAGGGAGGTTATTTGCTGAAGCCACAGTCCCTTGGGTTTTCCTTTTAGTTGTCTTTCCAGATCTTGATTACTCTCCAAATCAGGAAAGAGAAACAGAATGAAAAATGAAAATCAGTTTGTTGACAGAGGTGTGTCTCTGAAATCGCCAAGGATAAGAAGTGTTGATCTTCAAGAAGCTTGGCCCTCCCCCTACAGGTCCATGTTTGTGAGTGGGGTAAGGAGAACGTGTTCTGAAATCTTCCCAACCCAACCAGTTAAGTTTACCCTACCCTGTAGCCTCACCCAAGACAAGTAGAGGCTCAACCTCTTTTGGATTGAGAGGAGGCAGGAAGGAGAACTGTTGCCTGCACCCCTCCCATCCATCCAGGTGAGAGACCCAACAAGCCTGAAGTGTGACATTCCCTCAAAAGCGCACACGCCCCTGCAAAGGCCCTTGGCAAGAAAACCTAGCCTGCAGAAGCAACTTCAAAGCCTACTGGACAAGCTCCTTTTTGGGAAGCTTAACTCCAGACCAGTTCATTGAAATTCAAGGACTCAGTAACACCCTGCGAAATGTGCAGGAATATGACCTGATTTGTACTGGAGCTCCTGGCTCTTACAGACTCAAAATATTCAGATTAGACTTTGTCATGCTTGCCAGCACGGTTAGCAACAATGCAACACTGAGAACAGCCCAAGGAACTTTAAGAGCCAGCCAGTTCCAACATGGTGGGATGCACTGCAACCTTGGGAAGAATAAAAAAGCTATGAATGTGCTGAGAAGGATAACTCAGATACATTGTTCAATGAGACAGGGCTTCAGAACAGTAAGTGCTAGTATCTCATTTATGAAAAAAAAAAATCTGGTGCATGCCTGCTCACATGCACACAAAGAAAATGCAAGATCACAGACCTCCTTGTTAACAGTGCTCTTTGGAGGTGTGCAGTGAGAGATGGGGAAATGTTATTGTACTCTAATTTTACAGTGAACAACTGTTACTTTTATGATCTCAAATGTGATAAAGGAAAGAAGCTGCAGGGATACTACACTCCTTTCCAACTTACTCTAAGTCTGGAGAGCAGGACTCTGGCTATCTACAAGACCCATGTGCATGTGCATTTGGATGACATTTCCTCACCTCCATGTGACCACAAAGGAGGAAGATCTTAATTAGATCTTGTGTCCGCAAAGGCCTGGGGCGCTGGCACCTTTCCCTTAAGGGTATTTCTGTGTGATCTTTCTGATGTTCAATCTTCCGACCAGGAACTCCTCATTAAGCAGCTTACCAAAAGAACAAGAGCTGCTGCCTTTGGGGCTTGTGTTAAGCAAAGGGCATTTTATCTTGTTTTTATTCCCTCGCAAATGACCATTTGTAACACTCCTTACAATCACAGAGATGTGCCTTTCCCCACCACCTGTGTGAAGATTTGCAGCCCAGCTCTGGGCCAGAGAAGCAGGTCCACTGCTGAAAATAGTCGGCCAGGGATCAGCTCTATGGGGTCCTAAATCAGCAGTGACCCCTCTGTTCCAACCCTGAGTTGCATCAATAGTAGCACGGAACGTTCTAGTTAGAGGCTTTCCCTTGGGAGTCTAGATGTGAACCCCAACTTTGCCAGTGGCTTCAATCTTCGGGCAACTCGCGAAATCTCTCTGTAACTCAGCCTGTTCATAAAATGGAGATGATCACAGTGCCCGCCTCACTGGGCTGTTGTAAGGATGAAACTGACAAAACAGAATGGTGGCAGGTGCACAGAGGATAGCTGTTATTGCTTTAAGAGTTCACCAAAAGTAAGAGGCCCAGTGCTCACCCTCTCACCCACTTCCCTCTTTACAGAAAGAGAAATCTGAAGCTCACAGAAGGGCGGTTTGTTGCACATACAAAACGAACCCTTTTCACAACGACTTCCTGCTCTGGGAATTCCAGCACTTTACCCAAACTCAAAGATCTAAAGAGAGAGTATTCCGAGCAAGAAATTGGCCTCGGGGAATCGGTATTATCCCGGAAAGCCCCTCCTTGGTTTGCTGGAAGAAAACCAGCTCCTTGGAGGGCGCTGACACCATTTGGATGGCACCCGGAGGCGAAGGTCCCGTAACCCTTTCCGCATTCCCCGGAGTGGATGTGAGCGCTTCAGGTCAAGGGGCCTTGGCCTTTTCCTTAGCGAATGGGTGAACTTCAGCTGAGAAGGCCCCCTCCTTTTCTCGTTTTTCCTTGAGGACTTGCTTGGACGTGGGCAAGAATGAAGGGATAAGAAATGGCCAAGAAAAAGAAAAGCTCCCGCTAAGACGGACTTTGATGGAAACGTCGTCTGGGTGGGCGATGAGGAAAGCCGAGGGCAGACACTGCAGCGACTAAGAGACCGAGGGGCGGAGATTGGAACCCCGAGTGGGCGCAGGAAAACGGACAGCGGGGGGACAAAAACAAATAAGCGGCCCAAGTCACAGCCGGAGAATGGAACGGGGGCGGTCAGAGTTGGTGAAGGGGCCAAAATGCTCGCCGGAAGGAAGGCTAAAGTGTGCGTAAAGCCCAAACGCAGCAAACCTCTCAACCCCAACTGGGTAAAATGGGGCCCCAAAAAACCCCAGGGCCTTCCCACTCGGCGGGCTCCTTCTCCCTGAGAGAACAAAGCCCCGGGGCCGGCGGCCTCACCTGGTTGTAGAAGACTTCAGGCTGCTGATTGGGGGCCGGCACCACCTCGGTGGCGGCGGCCGACAGGAGACGGCGGCCCAGGCGGAGCCCGAGGCCGGCGGCGGCGAGCGCAGCGGCGCGCAACATGCTGCGGAGGGAGCGGGCGCGCAGGACTGTCTGCGCCCTGCCGAGGGCTGGCGCAGCTGGGGCAGGAGTAGCGGGTGGGGGTCACTGCGACCGCGACCTCTCCCCGCCCCTGGCGCGGCCGCCAATGGACGAGCGCGAGGCGGGGCATGGGGGGCGTGTCTGCCACTTCCCCCCACCCCACCCCGGGTCCGTGGCGAGGCTGCCCCGCGGCGCCCCTTCCGGCCTCCGGCCCTGGGCGGATTCCCCTCCGCTCCCTTTTGTGCCTCGCTACCGCCCCCTCGCGCGGCGCACCGGGTATCAGCAATAACCCTACCTCACAGATTCAGCGTGCATCGAACCCCTAATGTGTGCCTGAACCCTAACGTGGACAGGCCTGAGCCGGAGCAACCCTGGCCTTGACTTACGCAGGCTTACACTCTCGTCAGAGAGGCCGACCTTAAAACGAAACGCGAGGTAATTTCGGAAAGTGGTAAGGAATGTGAAGATACCGAATGGAGTGAAGACAGGGTTGGAGCAGAGCACTGCTTTTAAATCCTTTGGTCAGGAAGTGAGAAGTGAGACCTGAATTGTCTTCAGAAGATGTTACAGTGGTGAGGAGTTCGCAGAAGGATGGCGCGCTTGATTTGCATCTTAAACTCACTGGTTTCTCATTGTGTGCAGAATGCACTAAAGAGAGCAGGGGTGGGGGCAAGGATCTTGCAGATCGTTTGATTCCAGGAACATCCTGGAGCCAGGCACTGGGGAGCTGGGGAGGAATCGGAGCAGCTTAGCTAGGAAAGGGGATGGATATAGGGTCAGCTCTGTGCTCTCTTGCAAACGGAGGATCACAAAAGTCCGAGAGGAGATGAAGAAAACTGGCAGAAAGACCTGGGCTGTGTTTTGCCAGCAGAGAAGCAGAGGGAAGGGGCGGATGGAGCTAAGGCTGAAGAGGCCGACCAATGCCAGGTATTAAGTGCCAGGCAAAGGTGTTCTAAGGTCTGATGGAGATTCACATGGTCTATGTAGTGTGTGCGTGTGTGTTTTGTTTTGCGTTAAAGAGCTAATGTGATATCAAAAGGATAACAGGGCGCCTGGGTGGCTCAGTGGGTTAGGGCCTCTGCCTTCGGCTGGGGTCATGATCCCAGAGTCCTGGGATTGAGCCCCGATTCCGGCTCTGCTCAGCAGGGAGCCTGGTCCCCCCCCCCCCCCCCCCCCGCCATCCCCTCTCTCTGTCTGCCTGTCTGCCTACTTGTGATCTCTCTCTCTGTCAAATAAATAAATAAAATCTTTTTAAAAAAAAAGTTATAAAAAAAATGGCACAGAGGAAGTTTTTATGACCATTCCTCCGTATAAGGGAGTGTGGAAAATGAGCAGTGTGCCCAGGAAGAAGGGGCAATAGGTTTGGAGATCAGCTTTATCAGCAGAGACAAACTGAAAAGTGAACCTCCCTCTTTTCGGAATGCGGCTCTCAGCCCCCACTTCCCCTTCCCCAGACATCCTGCTTTGTTCACTTAATCGTGTGTTAGGAGATGGTTCTGCACCAGCACACAGTAAGTGTCCCCATTCTCTTTAACAGTTATGTAGAATTCCATTGGATTGATGTACCATTTTTATTTAATGAATTTCCTGTAGATGGGCTTTTAGATTGTTTCCAAACTTTTGTCATTATAAACAATGCCAAAATGTATATATCCTTGACTGACTTGGGAAATTCACAGAAGCAGAGCTGCTAAATCAAGAGATATTTGCAGCTTTAATTTTGTGTTGGATCTTGAACAATATGGGTTTGAGCTGTGCAGGTCCACTTCCATGAAAATGTTTTGCAGTACGGTAAATCTATTTTCTTTTCCTTATTTTCTTAACATTTTCATTTGTCTAACCTACTTTACTGTACGAATGCAGTACATAGTACATAGAACATACAAAATGTGTGTTAATTGACTATTTAGGCAATCAGTAAGTCTTGTTAACAATAGGCTATTAGTTAAGTTTTGGGGAGTCAAAAGTTGCATGTGGATTTTTGACTGCGTGGGGGTGTGGGGGTCAGTGCTCCTAACCCCTGCGTTGTTCAAAAGTTAACTGTAGGGCGCCTGGGTGGCTCAGTTGATTGAGTGACTGTCTTTGGCTCAGGTCATGATCCTAGAGTCCCAGGATCCAGTCCTACATTGGGCTCCCTGCTCCGCAGGGAGTCTGCTTCTCCCTCTGACCCTCCCCTTTCTCATGCACTCTCTCTCTCTCAAATAAATTAAAAAAATATATATTTTTAAAAAAAAGAGTTAACTGTAGATATTGCTGAATTATCCTCCATTGAGGTTTGATTAATATACAATGCCTTCCCCCCTGCCACTGTCATAGAGGAGTTTCCTCACACCCTCACCAATACAATTTATCAAGTTTTTTTTAAGCCTTGTTAATCAGATAGGTGAAAAATAGCATTTCACTATCACATTAATTTGCATTTCCCTTTTCAGGAGTGAGCTGGAACATCTTTGTCTACATGAAGTCATGTGTCCTTTCTCTGCTACAAACTGTACCTTGCTCATTTTTGCATTGAATTGTTGGTTTCTTTAAAATTGATTTGTAGGTGCTTTACATATATCAATACAATTAACATTTGGTCATTTCATGTATGGTGCACATATTTTCTGCCAATCATTGCTGATCTTTTCACTTAGTTGATGCCTTTTCTGGTTTTGTTTTTGTCTTAAGGGTTTGGGGTTTTTTGTTGTTGATGGTGGTGTTGTTTTGGGAGGGGGGTGTCCAGTGTTTTCTTTTCTCTAATTTATTTATATATTTAAGTAATCTCCACACCCATCAGGGGGCTGGAACCCGTGACACAAGATCAAGAGTCATGTGGTCTTCTGACTGAGCCAGCTAGGCACCCCTGTCCAATGTTTCATGTCACTGGCTTTTATGCTATGCCTAGAAAGCCTCTCCCACTCAGATTATTTTTTATTTTCTGCTTTATATATATATTTTTTAAAGATTTTATTTATTTATTTGACAGAGATCACAAGTAGGCAGAGAGAGAGGAGGAAACAGGCTCCCTGCTGAGCAGAGAGCCCTATTTGGGGCTCTATCCCAGGACCCTGGGATCATGATCTGAGCCTAAGGCAGAGGCCTTAAGCCACAGAGCCACCCAGGCGCCCCAACTACTTTATATTTTTTTTTAAGTTTTATTTATTTATTTGAGAGGGAGAGAGAGAGAGCACAAGCTGGCAGAGAGGCAGAGGGAGAGGGAGAAGCAGGCTCTCTGGGGAGCAGGGAGCCTGACGGACTAGATGCCAGGACCCTGGGATCATGACCTCGGCCGAAGGCAGACATCCTAACTGACTGAGCCACCCAGGTGCACCTCAGATTATTTTTTAAATGTCTCCTGGGGTTTCTGGGTGGCTCAGTCATTAAGCATCTGCCTTCGGCTCAAGTCATGATCCCAGAATCCTGGGATCGAGCCCCACATCAATCCCCACTTGGTCTTCCTGCTCTGCAGAAAGCATGCTGCTCCTTCTTGCACTCGCCCTGCTTGTGTTCCTTCTCTTGCTGTCTCTCTCTGTCAAATAAACAAAATCTTTAAAAATAAATAAATAAATGTCTCCTATATTTTTTCTGTTATTTTTCAACTTTATGGAGATAGAATTGATATATAACACTGTGTAAAGTTCACAGTTGGCTCCCCTTACTTATTGCAAAATGATGGCCGCCACTGCATTATCTAATTCCTCCATCATGTTACATAATGACCATTTCGCCTTGTGTGTGGTAAGAACATTTCAGATGTACTCTCTAAGCAATTTTCAGGTATATAAATATAAAATGTAGTACTGGTCCTTGCAATCACCATGCTGGACCAGTTTCCCAGAACATACTCATTTTACAACTAGAAGGTTGTACGCTTTGACCAACGCCATTCCCTTCATCACCTAGCCCCAGGTAACATCTTTCTGTGAGTTTGGCTTTTTTAGATTCCAAATATAATAGAGATCATACAGCCTTTATTTTTTTTTTAAAGATTTTATTTATTTATTTGACAGAGATCACAAGTAGCAGAGAGGCAGGCAGAGAGAGAGAGACAGGGAAGCAGACTCCCTGCTGAGCAGAGAGCTGGATGTGGGACTCATTCCTAGGACTCTGAGATCATGACCTGAGCCGAAAGCAGCAGCTTAACCCACTGAGCCACCCAGGCACCCAGCCTTTTTCTTTCTATCTGACTTACTTCACTTAGCATAACACCCTCAAGCTTCATCCACATTGCTGGAAATGGCAGGGTTTCTTTCCTTCTCACAGCTGAATCGTATTCCATTCTATGTGTATGCATTTTCTTTATCCATTCATCGGTTGCTGGACGCTTGAGTTGTTTCTGTATCTCAGCTATTGAGAATAATGCTACACTGAATATGGAAGTGTATCAATCTCTTCAAAATCCTCTTTTCATTTCTTTTGGATATATATTCGGAAGTAGGATTCCTGGACCATATGGTAGTTCTTTTTTTTTTTTTTTTTTTTTTAAGATTTTATCTATTCATTTGACAGACAGAGATGACAAGTAGGCAGAGAGAGGCAGGCAGAGAGAGAGGAGGAAGCAGGCTCCCTGCGGAGCAGAGAGCCCGATGTGGGGCTCGATCCCAGGACACCGGGATCATGACCCAAGCCGAAGGCAGAGGCTTTAACCCACTGAGCCACCCAGGCGCCCCCCATATGGTAGTTCTTTCAAGAACTAGCTTACTTTCTTTCTTCCTTCCTTCCTCTTCCTTTCTCTCTCTCTCTTTCTTTCTTTCTTTCTTTCTTTCTTAGATTTATTTATATATTTTAGAGAGAGAGGACCCTGGGATCACGACCTGAGCCAAAGCCAGATGCTTAACCGACTGAGCCACCCAGGCGTCCCTGTAATATCATTTTTATCATTTCTCTTGACCAAGATATTTAAGCCTTGAAGTAACAAGTTTGCATGTGTGCTTTGAGGGATCCTCTGGAGACGACATAAAAAATTGGTTGTATAGAGGAGACAAGCCAGTGGCAGAGAGCTGACACGAGAGATGACGAGGGCC